TCTCTCTCTCTCTCTCTCTCTCTCTCTCTCTCTCTCTCTCTCTCTCTCCTGTGTAAACCCACCGGCGACCCAAACCTCGTTCATATGCCTCTCTCTCTCTCTCTATATCTCTCTCTGGCAGAGTTTGTACCTTTAAGTAATCGGTTGTTGTTCTTGTTAGTATAATTGTTCAATTTTATCTTTAAATTGTTTTCTAAAGAGGGATCAGGAATCAAAACGGTGGAGAATGTGGGGATTTGGGGGTAGATTCTACTACAATGAAGAAGGTGGTGGCTGGACTACAGTGACGAGCGGCGGCAGTATGTGGCAGGAGCCTGCTCCGGTGGCCTTCTGCTGTTCCGTTTTTCTTTTTGTTCCGACGAGTTATGAGTTGGTGATGAGAGGAGGGGTCGGGAAGGATGTTTCCGACAACAACGGTGGTAATGGGTGGATGTGGTTTGCGTTGGCAGCCCAAGGGAACACGATGGTGGATGCTAGCGGCGACTTCTGGTGGTTCCCGGTGGCAGTGGGTGGTCAAGGGTGGCAGTTCTTGGCCACTCTTGGTTCCCTCTTCGGTTCTTGACAGAATTCAACGAGAGGAAAGGGGGAGAAGTGAGGTGGTGGTGGTTTTTGGTCCAACAATGGTGAGGGAAGGGTGGTTTATAGGAGCAACGACTTATCTCAAGAACAAACACCCATTTCAGTCTCTTTCACTCTTCCAGCGTACCTCCAATCTGGTTCAGAGAGAAAGAATTTCCTGCACCTCTTCAATGGGGAATGTTGACTTTTACAAATTCCAAGAGAGAGAGAGAGGTGGGTCCTCTATTATTTTTATAATTGTTAAATAAATAAATATTAAATTTTAAGAAAAATGAAAAATAAATACCCCAATGGTATTATAGTCATTTCAATTTTCGGAGAGACTATTTTCACATAAAAACGACTCCAAAATGACCACAAATCCAAAAAAGTCGTGGTTTGGACTAAAACTCCAAAAAATTGCATACTATATGGACCATTTTTGCAATTTTGTCTATTTCTTTTATTCAATTAAGTTTCAAAAACCGTATTAAACTTAACATTTTACCTACTCAAAAGGTAATCTAATTTCAAAAATTACACTTTTGACTCAAATTTCAAATCTTATTACAAATTTGGTCCAAAATTTACATTTTTGGCCTATATTTTAAATTTATTACAAATTTGATCCAAATTTTACCCTTTTGGCCTAGATTTCAGAATTTTGTTATGAGTTCATCATAACTGTAGTTTTTTTACAACATTTTTTCTCAAAAAAGGAAATTCGAATATGTTTTTCCTTTAACAAAATCATATTTATACAAAAAAAACATATTTTCACATAAAAAATCTTATATTTTATATATAAACACTTTTTTTAAAAAAACTTTTTTGAATACGAAATACCTATTTATAAAAAAAATAATCTATACAAACAACTATTTAATTATAAATACATTTGTATACAAACACATATTTATAAATATAAATATATATATATATATATATATATATATATATATATATATATACAAACACCTATTTCATAGTAAATGTGTGTGTGTATACACACACACACTAGCCTTTTACCCGCGTCACACGATGTGTGCGAATAGTTTCTTTCGGTATTATTTATATTCGGTAACAAGTATGATTGGACACCCAACTTTGCACGAAGGTAATGAAAATGTAAACCCCCAACAGTGAAATCTAATTTGCTTTGGAAGATGATAACTTATAACTTGAAAATTAACCCATTTTGATAGATTATTTTGGGTTTAAAACAAAAATATAATATTGTGTCGGTTGAAAAAAAAAATTGTATGACAATGAGTTTTGTTTTTAATTTGAAGACGCATATTTTTTATCTGTGATCAAAATTCCTTTTGCATTTTGAATATGAGTTAATATTTTATGGTATTAATTCTTATATAACTATTATTTATAGTATACATTTAGAATGATAATTTAATTGTCAATAATTACTTCTATAATGATGTTTTTTTTATCAAAAACATGTTTATATATATTTTTATTTATAAAAACATGTTTGTATACATTTGTTTATAAAACGTGCTTGACTATATTTTTATAAAATACGTGTTTGTATAAATTTTATATATAAACGTGTTTGAATACAAATGTGTTT